TTTACAGCATCCCCAATACACCCCGCCAAGCTCCTGCTTCCCCTTGACTCGATGGAACAAAAGACAGCAAACGCGCCGACGGTAGTTCCGCTGACGATATGAACCGGAGTGCCGCCGGCAAAGTCGAGACTTCCAAGCTCTCTCAGCCATCCCTTGCTGCTCCAAGACCACCTGGCCACAGGATCGTAGACAAGGAGAGACCAAATGGAAATAAAGATGATGAACCGACGAGGTCGAGCGCGGTGCATGGTACCACCACACACCACAGCGGCTGTGAAGGCGGCAAACATGCCTTCGTATATGGCAAAGACGAGCTCTGGGATGACTGCCGAAGTATCTGGACCGTCTCCCGTGCTGATGGGCATCGCGACGACATTTCGCAAAACACCTGCTTGGTTGTCTCCTCCCCACCAGTTGGAAGCCAATTTGGAGTCGGTGAATGTAACTAGATATCCCCATAGCGCCCACTTTGTGTATTACACATTCTTCTTGTCAGTTAAATGAATGTGAAGCAAAAGTGCCAAGGTGTTGTTGTAACATACCTGAAGTCCAATAAATGATGCTGTCACCATCGGTAATCGGAATAGGGTGAGAGCAAAGGATCGGTTGCCAAGTCCCGAGTAAATCAGGGAAAGTGCGGGTATCATGATGAAGACGAGGGCCGAAGCCATCATCATCCAAACGATATCCGCTGCATGATAATACTTTTCCGGATGTCGGAGGACATCTTCATAGGCGACGACGGATGCCGTCGTCGTCGCCGCCTGAGGAAGCTCGGCTAATGTGAGGGTCGCCATGAGACACTTCTCTCTTCTCAAAGATCAAAAAGAGACGTGTGTCGTGACACAGGAAACTGGCATTGTGAGAAAAAAGCATCCTGGGTTGTGGTTCTACGCGGGACATATGGCAGATAACGGAACCTGTGGGCGGCGAGCCCCGGACTATGATCTCGTGGGGCGGCCAATCCGGGCTGACAATCCTTCTGCAAGGTTACCGCGAGGCGCTAGTCTCGTAAAGGAACATTCTTTTGGTTCGAGAGGCGTTCGAGATGTTCGGATTTGATCCGAACTTGTCTGGGACGGAGGCACAAAACATCACAGCTGCGGCGTGTCAAAGGTCTAGTGGTGGCACGGGCTTGGAGTTGCGGCGCAAATGTGACAATAACCAACGATATTGGCAGCGCTTATCATTGCTATCTTGACAAAGCATACAATTCAAGGAAAACCCCCATGCCGTGCCACAATGGCGCCGCACTGACCTGCGCGTTTAGCTTTCCTACTTGAGCTTGGTCATCTGCGCTCATGATTCGATAGTAACTGGGGGCGTAGCAGACCTGCAGGTAATGAGTGTTCTCGCCGAAGGACCCGCGTTCAATCAAGTTGGGAGCGGCGGGTTTCCTGTCTGTGCTACTTCATCTTTACGAGTCCGACTCTACAGAAGAGAGAGAGAGAGTCGTAATTTGATCGGTAATCTTTTTTGTTTGTTGATGTCTTCACAGGCTCTCGCTGGTTCTTCTGCGCGCCTGGATGCAGGGGCCCGTCAATGCCCACGGCCACCGGGGCTATGAAGCCAACGCTGTGCTCTTTTCATCTTATCCAGCGAGCCCCGCGTTATCTTTCGAGCATCACAACATGGGCCCTCTGAAAACCAACTGGCCCGAGACGTCGGCCGATGTTGATGGCGTCTCTCCGATATCTGTCGAAGGCCCGCAAGACCCGTGGACCAGCTCGAGTGAAACAGGTAGATCTAATTCTCATCAACTCTGGGCGGAGAAACTAGCAGCTGACCCGTCTTTTGCAGCGCATCAAGATACCTCTAACTACTCACCTCCAGATCCGGTTTGCCATCGGATCAGCATCTTAGCCCCTAGACAGGGAGATCGCCTTGTCACCAAGGAGGGCTTCATGCCAAGTTGGTCTCCGGAGCGCATTGAAATTCTCTGCAGCATGTCCAGGTTCATCTGGAGCAACGTCAACGAGCTTCGCTCAAATCCAGACTCGCGATGGTTGCTGCCACTCAAGGATGAGGACGGCTTTGACCCGCAAATGGCTCTCCGAGTCCTGGACATGATCGGTCCGGACACCAAGAATCGAAGGCAGAGAGTGTCTCTCCTCAGCCAAGAGTGTAACGTTTTGTGGGTCTTTCAAGTCATTCCCAAAATGTTTCCACGGAGTCAGACATGGGAGGTGCTCGATGACGATGGATATTTGGCCGCCACCAGGACAATGGTTCGAAAAGCTGCTCAGTCGTACACGGGCAGTGTGTCGGGATCCTCCTCGATGTCAAGCTCCAAATGGGGTTGGCATTCCGAACCGGCGCATCGCTCGCGTTTGACCTCGTTGCAGCTGGCCAACGTTGCGCTTGTTTTGGAGTGGGAGGAGGTGTTTAAGCGTGAGATTAAAACTGTTGTTTGGGATTGGACGGGCACGCAGGCGACCATTGTGACTCCTGTCGAAAGGTTGAGAAGTGACGGGGAAAACGGTTTAGACGGTAAGTCAATTTCAATTTGCGTCAAATCCTTGGTTTTGTCTTTTTTAACTAAAACTTGATGGTGGTTTAGCTCGACGTAAATCAGAGAAACAAATGATTCTCAGGGAAATCAAGCAATACCTTGACCGTGTCAAGACGACTCACAAAGGCAGCGTCAAGCGGTTGTTGCGTGATTTGGAGGCACAAAACATGCAGCTTGAGTCGGATTCTTTTTTGCATCCAAGCAGTTATAGCATGCTACGGGAGATTGAAAGTGCCATTCTCAAGGAGCCCTGGAAGCAGCGAAATGGTGGGGCGGCGAGTGTGCAAAGGGCCGTTAATCCGAATCGACCGGCAGCGCCCGGGTTGTTGGGAAAGATTAAAGACCTGGAGCATGGTGTCGAGAACTTGATGAGTGGCGGGAAGGCCCATAGGAAATTTGTGGAGGGGTTGTTGCGTCATATTGATGAATTTTTGGCTCAGAGACAGGCAGAGGTTGGTGGGGAGATTTGGAGGTGGAGGGATGGGATTGTGGCAGCATGGCTAAAGTGTTGAATTCTTTTCCTTATCGTTTCTGTAATCTAATACCCAATTGTTTTTCTCTGCATGATCTCCTCCTTCATCCGGTAACTTGCCTTGCCGTATCCACGTATGCAACGACTGCAATGATGATGGATCGTATGTCCGGTTCCGATGCATAAAATGCTCGACGGTTTTTCTCCCCGAGATGCTTGTTATGTCTGACCCACCTGTGATGGCAAGACACTTCGTAACAAACATCTTCATCTATCGAAAGGCAACCGCCTGCTAAGTGGTATGGATATTTTCTCGAAGGACGAAATATCAACGAGAACTGCATGTAGCTCAAAGCCCCAAGATGAACAAAATTCACGCATTCGTTCACCAGTGTAGCTTCAAGAATAAAAAATGGGATATAAACTTTTCTCTGTGAAAGAGGAGAGATCGTCTTGCCAGCTTGCCAGTCTCGGAGAAAATTGACAGTTCAGGTTTTGTTTTGCCCGGTTTTTCTGATGGATGACCAGCCCCGGAGTGAATAAACTATCAGATATTCGGCCTTCTGAAAGAAAGACCCCTTTTCCCAGAGGATTAGGGTTAGCTAGGTGGTTCGAGCTCCCACCTTGGCAGGGCACACTATGCCACAACTCTGGCATTTTCCAGATATCAAGATTCTGGTCAACAATACAACAATTCTTGGCAACCCTGAAATTCAACATATACCATCTCTCTACATGTCTGGTGGTTGACGATTCAAGGAAAACATCATCGACAACAATAGAACAACCAAACGAGTTCGATAGGAGTCTAGACCTCAAACAGCCATCAAAAGAGAAGATGCTGCCTCGGAGTCTTCACACCCTCTGTAAGCCCTTTATAACGTTCTTCAAGGTAGCAAAAATCAACAACCTTGTCACGGCGTGTACTGGGAGCCATTCTGCCCATTGAGCCATGCCCTTACAAAAGGATACAAGACTACAAGTCCCCAGGACTTGCACTCGAATGGCTTATATAGTAGGCTTTCTCCTAGGTTTCCCAGGCCCAGGACCAGCGCCGTGACAAACCTAAACACAAAACACTCCGGTGGTGTAGTAATGTGTAGAAGCTGGAGTGGAGTAGTAGTTTGACTCTTCACTCTTTCAAAATGAAATGTCGGGTGCAAATCCCGGCTCCAGCGGTTTGCTTTTTTTTTTCTTCTTCTTTGGAATATATTCCTTTTTATTTAATTTGGCATGGAGCGAATCTTGCGGTTCTTGGGATATTTTTTCTTTTAAATTTCATGTTGTTTTGGTCTCTTTTCTCTTTGTCTTTCCTCTTCCTCTTGCTCTCCCCTTTTGGTTCTCCTTTCTCGTCATTGGTGAAATTTTGATGTTCTAAAAGCCAAATATGTTCCTGTACCACTCCTGTCCACTTTGCTCGCCACTATTCTCACATTATGTGGAGTTGATCATGGAATCCACAATGCTGACGGTTTAAGGGTGATTGTTGGGATGAACCCATCTACAGAGTGTGTCAATGACTTTATATCCTCCTTAGATTGATAGGTACTTGGGCGTGGTCGTAGGTTTGAGCTCCGTTAATAACAGACCAACATGGAAAATCGGCACTATCTAACCGGAAGCTTTTTGAGATTAATATACCAGGTAGTTTTCACGGTGCACATAGGCATCTACAAAAACAGGAAGCATACAGAAACTCTTCTCTACTCTTCCTTATTCACATGATACATCCGGATCAACAACTACTAGATACCGGTTACTGCAACCTCCGAGGATAAGTATCGATGCTAAAGATAAGGCTCATCAGTACCGAGGTCAAGCTCGGGCGTATGTAATCAAGGATTACCCCACCCCTGAACATGAAAGATATCAACATCAGCTACCGTTCTGACGTGCTTCAACAAAAGTAAACCGCCGTCTCAGAAATCTGGAGATGAAAAAAGAAAGCGGGCAAACCAAAAACAGACTCTGCAAAATAATGCAAAAAAGAATATCGAATCGTTTCGACGGGAATTGAGCCCGACGTGGGGGTCGAACCCACAACCTTGAGATTATATCGTAGAACTCCACATTTACATTAAGAGTCTCACGCTCTACCGATTGAGCTAGCCGGGCAAGCGGCTAATAATTTTTGTGAATCGTCACCAGTCAATCAAGTTTAACAAAGCAAACTATACAGCAAAAACCATATGTAGTCCAAAAATATATACAATTATAGGATTATTGAAGCGCTAAAAATACTCTTTTAAACAAATGATAAGGGTATCTTTTTTTTTACTCAAGACCAACAGAAATGGCAGTCAAAGCCCAATCCATGAAACCGGCATTAGTATCAAGAATGTTCTGGTTAAACTCAGTAGTGGTAGGATAAAAGTTAGTTGAGTAACCAAACTCCAGAGTGTATCCATAAACCTTGTTGACACCAGGTTTGGCCCAGAATCGACTGAAGGCATAATCATCGGTGGCACCAGAGGTAGGATAGAGACCAACAGCCTGCATGGAAGAGTAAGAGCGGCCACCAACTCCTCTCATGGCGGCAACGGTGGCATCAGCGACCCTCGTAATGCCGGTGAGATCCGAAGAGGGAATGTACTCCTTGTACGTGGTATCACCAATATTTCCGCGCTTGCCATCGTAGCTCGAGTTGAGGAAGTTCATGGTGGGAGTGGTGGACTGGTTTTCATCATCACCCCAGCTGTAGAGGAGGGTGCCGGCAGCGGAGTGAACATCCATGAACCAGCGGATCTTGGGGAACTTGCTGTAAACGGAAACGTGGTTCTTGGTCTCGGCCTCAGACTCGGGAGCAGTTCCGTAGAAAGCCTCAGAGCTGGGCGAGCTGGATGCAGGGGATGCCGAGGAAACAAAGTATTTCTTAAAGTTCCACAAAAAGTCAAAGTTGCGGTTGATGTCGACACCGATCGATGATCCGCTGGATCCAGACTTGGTGTTGCGGTTCTTGCGCCAGAGGGAGCCGCTGGACTGGTCGTAAACGACGCCGTCGGGGTTGACGAGAGGGAAGATGACGAGGCCGGCGGCGAGGATTGACTTCACCTGAGCGTTGGTGTAAGACTTGTTGCCATACTTGAGACCGGAACCAGTTTTGTTGGCCTGGAGAAGATCCGAAACCCAGTAAATGACATTGTCGGGACCACCGCGCTCACGGGCGTGCACGCCGGCGCTGATATAAAGGTGATAGTTGTTGACGTTGGAGCCTGCGCCAGTGTAGAAGGCGACAGAAGTACGGCCCTGGAAGGACTTGACGGGGAGGTCGTACTTGAAGAAAGCGCCGGGGTAGGCATTAACAAGCCCGGTGACGGCCGAGTTGATCTCGTTGACGTTGAGAATGCTCGCGATGGTGCTGCCGCTGGGCTTGGTGCCAAGGCCCAGAGGGGCAACGGAACCAGCGCTGAATCTGTCGCCAGATCCAATTGGGGCTTTTCCACTCTGTCTCTTGTCAAGCTTTGTTTCCCGGATCTCGATCGAGTCGACCTCGCTGTACTCTTGAGAGAGGAAGTTGATCTGATCGCGGGTCAGGAGGGCGTGAAGCTGATACTGGCCATCGTCAGTGGGGAGGGCAACCGGTCTGCAACCAAAGTCGTAGGTGTCATTGCCGACAATGGCCTCGAAGTGCTCAACGGTGGGCGCCCTGATCTCGACGGGCAACAACTGGCTGGCGGCAACTACGGTGATCTGCAGCGCCAAAGAGGTGGTGGTGAAGGAGTACTTCATATTGTCTGTGGGGATGAATGACTCGGGGCTCTCGATCGACCCAGAACCGAGAAGAGTCGGCTCTGGTGGGGGATAGATCGAAGGCGGCGGGTATTTATAAACATTCTGTCCTCTCAAGGTTACAAGTGCCTTGCAGTCTGCAGACAAGGTCGTGTTGGTCGGTTGGTGGGCGAGGGACCTGGGAACCGGGAAATCCAATGGCTTGACCACGACAGCAAACAAGAATCCCGATAAGTATTGCACCTCCCTCATTTGGCAGGCGGTCGTCAATTTGTTGCCATACGTGCATGCGGGGATCTTGGTCCTTTTTGGGGGCTTAGCACCACCCGCTAAGGGTAAATTAGAGGTTTGGGAAGGTCGGGCCAAGACTCCTCCCCTCAATTATCCAACGGATCGCGGAGCATTCGACTCTAGCGGCAGCTTGCAGTAAACTACCGCATAGTCACCTTCCTATTTAAGACTTTCCCCACGGTGCGGCCCGTTGAATGGTGTGGCATTTTGATGCTTCTATCTCTTTTACTCACATGTTTTTCTTCTTGATGGCTTCCTTTTTTATTTTGTTCTTTTTTGTTTTAATGGCGCATTGGTTGATGCCAGCTGAAAGTGTGGCCTGGAGGCGTCCCAAGTGCCTTTTTTTTAAATGGCGCAGCCAAGATTGGGATACCGAATAAAGCTGAACCGTGGATGACCCAACACGGCATCGCCGATTTTATGTAGGATGCTGGGGAAATAGAATCACAAAAGAAACGTCTTGTAGTATTTAACCATGTCTTTATAGATGTGCGCTCCCTCCAGAGTCCAGACCTAACGGACGACTAGGAGCTAGGCACGTCGTAAACAAATTTGCCACGCCGTTACACATTGGCAGATCCCGCTAGCCGCATGACTTTTTGATGCCGGCCGCTTGTTGGACCCCGACACCACCCTCAAGAAGGAATACCTTTAGTTTGAAGTATTTGGAAGCTTAAATATACGGCCCTTGTGTCTGGCGGCCATCAACAACTTAAACAGAATTACCATGGTTCCACCAGTCCTGGTGATCGATCAGCCACAATGCCCATCTTCCACAAAAGGAACGTAAAAATGCAAGTCAGCCAGTTGAAATTCAATTGCAATGTATCATGAAGTTTGATGCAATTTAATTACAATATATATATGATAACACCTGAACAAATAGAATAAAATTAAGCATTTCTAACATCAACCAAGAGCAAGTCCAATATTGCCTTCTCCAAAAAAAAAAAAAAAAAAAAAAAAAAGACAACTTAAACTAAATCCCCAACTCTCATCACTCCTATCATTCTTATTTCACAAAGAATAATTACTTTACACGACTTATAAGCCAACTAATTACTCACGTTCAAAACTTCAGTCATTAATAACCTCAACCAGGGCAGCAAATCTCAGCCAATAAATTACCCAAACGACCACTGAAATATCCAGCAACAACTTGAACGTCATTTAACGGACGAGTCTGCATTCTCCCCAGGAAATTATCTAAACGATATCTAGTAACGCAAGACGTAGAGTATACAGCGTCGGAACGGAAGGAAAGACGGTTTTCACTGTGTTTCTAATGTTGTTGACAGTATTGGAATATAATTATTGATCTTACACCACTGGAGGCGGTGCCTCCATCCCTATGGGATATGCGGTCCCTCTACAATTATTTACACGCGTGAGCGAACTCAAGTGC